GGGGTGCTGGTGCGGGAGGCGTGTTTGGTCCCGCCGCGGCAGGAGCACCAACGCCTGCTTTGGAGAGACACCCCGGGGCTTCGCTCAAAGGTCCACAGCGATGGACGGTGAAGAGACCAAGACATTTTGAAGTATGTCACTGTAAAAACCAGGCAGCAGGCAGTGATTTTTTTCCTAAATGTAGTCTTACCACACTGGGGTTTTTTTTTCCCCTCTCCTTTGGCTTTTTTCTTACTCCTTTATTGACAGAAATAAATCTCAGTGTACCTCCAGTGGGTGAATGTTCCTAAACGTGGTCTTTTGGGGATACCGAATCCCAGTCTTCAGAAAGAGAAGGGAAGAAAAAAAAAACAACCACCAAACCAAAACCCAACCCATTAAAGATTCAGATTTTTATATGTATATATTTCAGGTTGGAATCCTCTAGGAGCTGTCTAGATCGGCTCCCAACACAAATCCATAATTCTAAATGAATGCATGTACATTCTGACATTAGTTTACCAAAAAATGTTGAGAATGATCGGTGTTTTAGGAAGCCTGTCTTATGGCAGAAGACAAGTTACTTGATGACGATTTATTAATTGAGGGGAAAGATGAGCTCTGGAAATAAAGGGTTTCTTAATTAACTGAATCACGGCAGGGTTGGTTGGTAAAATCGTATTAAGCCGATATCGGATGTTCTCTGCCCTAGATTGGGTAATCTCATAGTTTCCAATGGTTAGTGAGTGTTTTAACCACGGAAGCATGAGGTTTTGATTTTTTTCTTTTTTTTTTTTCTCCTAAAAGAGTGGATTGTTGTCCACACAATCTTTTTTTGCCATTTTGACCATGCTAACATTTTTTGCTCAGTCTTTGGCTGGCAGATGAGAAAGCTAAATCTGAACACGCTGTTCTTGGCAATGACTTGTCTTTCCACTCCTCCAGTCAGTGGTGTCATGATTTCCATGTTAAATTCTATTTCCTCCTTATTGTGAAGGCACTGAGTTTCCCCCCCATTGTTTCCCGGTTACCTGTTTCTCTTGGGCCTTTCTTTATGTCCCTGGCACCGTGTAAGTTGCATCAGGTTGTGCCATTAGCAGATTTTATCCTGTTCCTGCTGGTTGCTCCTACTTGGTGCAAAATCTTCACAGCAAAAAAGCGAGCAAATGCGTAGCTGAAAAAAAAGGGTTAACCGGCCGAGGAGCTTTCCGACAGACTTCACTGCCCGAAAGACTTGCAGTGTCCTCTCTGGGGACAAGAGGCCCCTGCCTGCGGGGCACCTGCCGCTGACGCCCCTCTCCCTGGCCTCCACCAGCCCCCTCAGAGCCACTCCGGAGTCTACAGGAAGGTGCTTTCGTAAAGCAATATTCCTGGGTTTGCAGGTTTGAATTTTATAACAGAGGCCGTGATGGTGCGCGGTCACCTATTTGATTTTTAGTGCTCTGTAATAACAAAAAATCAGTAGTTTTCATATGTGACGCAGCTTGATTTGTCCAGGTTGGCGGGTTTAAAAACGCTCAAGGTTCCTTCTGCGTGCAGTGGCTCTCTGTACACTGCCTCCTCCAAAAGAATTTCTTTTCCCAAGTTAGCATTTCCTATTTGTACAACCCCTTAACTTGTTTGGGTGGCAAGAAATAAAGCTGTCTAATACCCCATTTTATATCTATAGTGGGTAGTCTCGGGTCATGCCCTGGAACGAGCTGGCCAGCCTCTTGTTGGACCATCATCTTCCAGGCTTCCTGCCCTTAACGGGGACTCGGGGAAGAGAAACCCCCCTCGGGAGGCTGTGCAGTGCATTCCCTTTGTGCTGGACACTGATTCTTGACCTGTTTCATGGGCTAACAATTCCCGCTGCTGAAGGCTGGTTCTTACTCGGTGGCAGAATTATCCGGCGCAATCCGTCCCAACAATTTTTTCCTTTGCTTTTCAAACCCCGTACAAAGCACTGATGAAAAGTAAGCTTCCTTCCTTTTTCCTGAGTGACTCTGCTACAAAGAATGTCAGTCAGAGGTCTCGGCCGTCTTGTGTATATACTTTTTTGGGGCTGTGTTCAGGCTTCATACATCAAAATAAATTGAGCTGTGCTTTCCGGCAGAAAGCAGAAGGGCTACGTCTGGCGCAATAAAAGCTGCGTGGAGAGCAAGATGAAAGTATGCAAATCTCTGGAGATGTAGTATGTAAGTCTGCCATTCAGCTTTATTTTAATTTGGTTAAAAAATAAATCTTGCTTCTGACAGTCAGCTACTTTAGATTTTAATCAAACCTATCTAGTCTGCATGCTTTCTGCGCAAGTACTCAGACTGCTTTGGTTTCTCGCTGGATCAGAAATGAAGAACATTTCTTCCTATTAAGCTTGAAATCTGAGCTATGCAATGTGGGACTTCAAAGTGGGTGTTTTGTCAGGGATGGGTCAGAGAAATGCAGCTCGCTGGTGACTCAAAGAGCTCGGGAATCCTAGCGCCTGATCTGGTCCGAGGCAGCGCTCCCCATTTGTTACCACTGTAAGCAAGTTTTGTCGTGTCCTCTCCCGTCCGTGCCCCCCCCAGGTTTGGTCTTTTATGCAGCGCTGTGAGATCAATTCATCTCTGCATCCCTTTCCCCCCTCCCCCCAGAATTTATCTTTAAGCTTCCAGGAAAAAAAAAATAAATCTTGACATCAGTATAAAGAAACGGTGGCACGTGAACCGAGACAAGGCACGTGCCAAGGTACCTTCTGGTCCTGCTCAAGCGAGGATGGCGAGTTACACAGGGTTATTTTGCATTTCGGCTCTGTTCTGCACCCTGTTTCTTGGCAGCAGAGCCCCGATTTTGCAAATTTTCATTTCTGTAATGACTCAGTGTTTGCTAAATAGGAATATCCCATGCTTCCCCCCTCCAAGGTGCATGCTTGAGGATATTCTTTTTCTATGCTAAACAGCGAAGGAAAGGAGAGGAAGGGAAAGGACTGGTAATCTTCAAAATACTATTACAGCTATGATGTTATTCTCAGAAACATCCCGACTGGAACTTCCCACACTTGCAAGCATTTCATGTCTCACCACACAGCCCAAACTAACCCAAACTCTAAGGGATTGTTTTTCATCTCCAGAACTGGTGTTCCTTGATGCAGCTTTTAACTTTCCCACTT